ATCTCTAAATAAATGATAGCGCCTTTGTACATGTTTATTTTGTTGTTGGATCTTGGTTCCTTTTCCCGTGCAATTGCACACGTTTATCATAATATGTAGATATTAGATAAATGACACTTAGAACTTCCCCTAGTTCATTTAAGAACTCATGTATCCAAACAGCCTCCAATAGGTTTTTAATGAAACAATGTACTCAGCATTTGTGGTTGAATTCACAGTGATTTACTGCTTGGAACTATTCCAACCCACTGTCTCATCATTGAAATGAATATAAGACTATTAAATTATTATTCCCACAATAGAATAAAATATATTCTTTAGTCCATCTAATGTACTAAAGATAGTCTTAGCAGTCTTCCAATATAGCTCCTAGGATTTTATTGGAATCTATAGGTGATACTAAGTGCATAAGCCATGTAGACCTCGTACATGTCATAACATGCATGATAGACTCCATCGCATAAGCAAATGTAATCTTCTTCATGCACCCAAGTTTGACATCAACTGAAAGACAATCTTTCTTTGCCAACTTGATGTCAGGTACATTGGAGAAGCACTTCAGTACCTTGACTATGGACCGTGAAACTCTAACACTCTATTAGATCTATCTCGATAGATCATAATTTCAAGAGTATAGCAGTTTCACTCAAACCCTTCACAATGAAGGTACTTGGTAATCAATCTTTCACAGACTGCAGGTGAGGAACATCATTCTATTATCAATATGTCACATACTTATATGATAGAAATAATATTATCCTCATTGTGTTTACTATAAACGCATAGATCCTTCTTACTTCTCACAAAGCCAAACAATTATATAACTTTGTAGAAAAAGATATTCCAACTCCTAGAGGCTTGCTTAAGTCCACTATTGGTCCTTAGTAACTCGCATACTAATTTCGAATTTGACTTAGATATAAAACCTTTAAGTTGTATCATATATACATCCTCCAATTTTCCATCAAGGAAAATGATTTTAATATCCATCTATCAAATATCATAGTCATAGTATGCAGCTTTTGCAAGTAAAATCTAAGATGGACTTGATTTCATGAACAGGCGAAAAGGTATTATTACAGTAAACGTCACGTTGACTATAACCTTTAGACACCAACCTAGCCTTGTAGGTTTGTACTTTTCCATTCGCATAAGAGTTTTCTTTTGAAAACTCATTTGTATCTAATAGGTCTAACCCCAATTGGCAAACCAACCAAGTTCTAAACTTGATTCATGTACATGAGTCCATTTATGATTTTATGGCATCAAGCCACCTCTCTGAGTCCATGTCTTACATAAACTCAGTGTAGGTCCGAAGATCATCCTCATTAGGAATCTCTACATCATCGTGATCCTCCAAGAGGAAAAACAATCTAATTGGTTCACGACGAGTTCTAGTCAACCTACGGAGTTTTACAAGTAGTATTTGTTGTTAGACATTCTGATCATGAAGAGATTCTTGTACGTTGGCATTTCTCAAACGATTGGAGGGTTCTCAAAATCACGTTTGTATGCGTTTATTGAGAATGAACGATATCCGATCCATTAGGTATTGGTTGTATATGAGTGTGCTGCACTTTTGCAGTTTCACCCATATTACTCCCACTAGCTAGAAGTTGTTCATCAAATGACAAATTTCTATCTAGGAAATCACCAATACCTCCCTCTAAATCTTTGTCAATACCAAACGACAATTCTTGAACCTCAATGTTATTTTGAATTTTCTTGAACTTTTCAAGTTCTATCACAACACGACATTGTTCCTTAAAGAAATAATATTCTCCTGGAAACTTTGTCTATCTAAAGACAATTACTCTATGTTCCCCAGGAAGATAGAAATATTATCCTCGTGTTGGATAGCCTTCAAAATAACATTCTTCACTTTCATATTCCAATTATCAGTTAAAAGTTTCTTCACATATGCTAGACAACCCTAGGTTCGCATATGTTAAAGACAAGGCCTCTTGCCACGTCATGATTCATATGATGTCTTTACAACTGACTTCAATGGAACTCCACTCAGAATGTAAATCGAGTTCAATAAGGTATAACATCAATGATATGTGGAAGAGTGGTGAAACTTAACATGGATCTAACCATATCTAATAAGGTTCGATAGCTCCTTTCGAAGGCTTCATCAAATGAGTCCTAAGAGGCATCCATTACAATGTGGACTCCATGAAATTTCAAGTAATAAAGAAACTTCATACTCAAGTATTCTTCTCCTTGATCAAATCAAAAGATACTTTAGTCATATTGTTTCTCTACTCCAAACTTATACATCTTGAATTTTCTAAGGCTTCGATTTGTGTTCCATAAGGCACACATAACTCAACCTTTAAAATCATTAGTAAGATGATGGAGTACGAATAACCTCTTCTAACTTGAGTTTCAGAAAGTCTGCATTCATCAATGTAGATCAACTCAAACATTCTTTTGGTTTGTGTCCCTTTTCCACGAAAAGGAATTATTGTCATCTTTCCTTCATGACAAGATTCACAATTTCCATACGACTCAAAGTCGAATGGAGTTAAGTAATCTAATTTACTTAACCTTGTTATTCTCGTCTCATTGATGTGACCAAGTCTACAATGCCATAAGAAGGTGGAGGTTTTCGTATTACTTTAAACTTTTCGTTTAAATTAACAAAATCTTATGCAGTGTTCCCAACACCTTGTGCCTTGAAACACATGCAACCTTTCTTCCAACGTCCTTTTCTTTGCAGAAGATTCATCATTGAACAATTTCAGCTTTTGTTCATCATTCCCTTAGGCTTATAGGTTGTAGGTCTAGAAACAATTTCAGCCTCTTTTCTACTTACTCTTACCTTTGGTAAGACTTAGCAGAAGGACTCACTATGAGTACAACCTTCCCTAAGAGTGAACGGATTGTAAGTCTTGAGCATGTGCAACAAAAGCATCGTAGTCCTCGTATCATTTCATATAAAAATTCACAATGAAGTTAAAATATGAAACTAGAGCGACTGCAAGATGATATTCACAGTGACGTGATTTGGGAGCTTCATTCAAACGAAGTTAGACTCCCAATCAGTCAAATCATCTATTCGACATGCACAAAGACTTTATCCAATCATGTAGCCTGCATTTGAAGAGATCTCTCAACAGTTCAAACTCCAAGGTTTGAGACTGAGGTCATAAAGTCTCGTTAAATTCTCTCACATTCATTGGAATTCATCCTATCATATTGTCTCTTCAACCTAGTTGACATAGAGAACAACACGACACATTACGCTGAAATTTTATCATCCTAATACTCTTATGAGTATCATGGTCAAACGCATAGTACCCAAAAAAAGTCTTATTAGGTAAGATGGACACCTTTGTGTCCAACACATATTCAACTCGTTTTACCACAAAACAACAATTACAAAACGTGCAGTCAATCCAAATGATTCGGTCCAGTCAACTTCTTCATTTCCATCAGTCATTTCAATGATAAATTCAAAATTCTATTCAACCAGAGAAACATATAGAACAGGAATATAAAACAACTTAATCACATTTATTAACTAAATTAACATGGCTTTTAATTAATTTAGCTCCCACTATTTTGACATACTCTACGACCCCTTCAGAGGAGTACGAACTCATATCAAATATAGTCATAGTGAGCCAAGATCCACATCCATCCCATTATAGTCCCAGCTAGGGCTGATCACTATAATGTATGTAGTGGTAGGTCTCTAAACCAATTGTAAACAATTACAACTCTTGGTTGATCAAATCTAATTTGATCGACGTCCTTAGATCATTCCGACGCTAGGGCGACAAGAATTAACTAAGTAATTCAAAACCATCACACGATCACAGCATCTATGAATGAGTCTGAGCCTCGTAGCCCTAAGCAAACACTAGGGTGTAAATACTTTTGGACGAAAAGGTTTTTGCAGTCATTCAATTGTGATGGGTGACGTAATGCATCCAAGATAAGACTTATATTTTATTAGGGGAACATTTGAACGGGGTATTAAATATCCAATATTCAAACAAGATCCAACTAATATCACATATCGGGCGCCGCCTACCCGAGCATAATATAACGCGGTCCGGCAAATACTGGGCGCCGCATACCCAGGCATAATATCGCGACCCACAAATACTGGGCGCCGCCTACCCAGACAACATATAACGCGGTCTGAAAAATATTGGGCGCCGCCTACCCAGACAATATATAACGCGGACGCTAACTAAAATAAATAAACTATTTAATTTATTTCAGTTAGACAAATAAGAGCAAATAATCTAATTATCATGCATTTATAATATTCCAAACACATAAATATGTATTCAAAATACATATGCCAAGCAAATTCATGGATCAAAATAATGTGCTAAAATGTACAAATTTCTAAAATTTTGAAACAAGCTCGAAGCTTTATTTCGTTCATTAAATATTTCAAAAATATTTATAAGTCATTTGACAATTGTTTTTAGTTTGAAATATACCCCAAAGGTTAATTTCAATTTTAGGGATTTTTAAAAAATTTAAAACAAGCAAAATAACCATTATTTTAACTTTTTCTAAAAGCTGAAATTATGACATAGCCAAACAGGCCCTTATCCCTTTTTTCAGAAATTAAAACTTGGCCCTATACCATTTTCAAAAATTACAAACAGACCCCTGTCAATTTTGTACATTATAAACAAACCCCAGATCAGTTTCGAATTTGCACATTGACCCTAGGGGTCAAATTGAAATAAACCAAAGTTTATGAAATTGTAAATCCGCCCTAAAAGTTGTCAAATTTTTACAAACCAGGTCCCCAGCCCTAAAAACATTTTTCACGTCCGTTCACTTCCTCCCCTCCGCACAACGGCCCCGGCTCTTCACTTCCGTCAATTCCCGCAGCCTAAGACCGGCAGCCACTCGCCGGAAACCTTTCAGGCGGTCAAACCGCAAAATGTTTTTTTTTATTAAGTCCGCCATTAACGGCGGACGAGCTCGAAGCTCGATTCCGGCGTCCTGTGCGTCAACCCTCTTTATCCGCTCACCTCCAAAGGAGCGTGGTTACGGGTCGAGGCCGACGACAACAACCGGCCGCACGACAAGGGCCGCCTAGCGGCAGCAGCAACGCGACGGAAACGGCCCAACGGCAGCGATCCTTGGCCGCTCGAGTCCCGGCGTATCACCGGCAATGGTGTGACGGGAGATCGACGATCAGAGATAGGGAGAGTTATCAGGAAATCCAATTCCAGATTTTGATATGTGCAGATCCGTTCCAACAGAACCAGCGCAACAACCTAAAATCTTAATATTAGTTTAATTAACCTTAAAACAATTTTAATGACAAATTAAATAAATATACCAAATTCCAAATCAGGCTTTGCGAACAGGTTGAAAACAAAAACGAAAAAGAGATTCTAAATCCCAGATTTCGCAGCGTATAGAACACAAATTTTGATCCATATAAATCTGATTTAAATCAAATATCTATGAACACCGACCTGGTGCTCTGATACCACTGTTGGATTTTCGATGTACGAACCCAGCGTATCCGCAGCGGAATTTAAAATTTTCTTACCAACAATGAAGATCCGGCTATAGCTAATCTATGTGATCCTAGATCGCGTGAATCATCAACGAAAACTTACCGTTGTTCGTCTATGTCCTCGACTAAGGTATCCACGCAATCCAGTTTCTCGATGCACGATCCAACGACAATGAATCCTCTCTGGTGAAGAAGCTAGGAATCCTCGATC